CAGATTATGTGAGCTGTGCAGGGACAGTGTTGTTATTCTTTTTGAAAAATGGACTATGTAACAAACTTCCAAAATTAAACTGTTCTACTATATTTTACTGATATAAATACAATAAGTCTCATAAGCATCAGCTACCATTCTACCACTACACAAGGGAAACAAAGTCAAAAGAATTACATATTGATGCAAAGGGTAAACAAGGAAGTGCTTTCACTTTCACTGTAGTCACCTATAACAAAGCATCCTACATATTTTGTACAATTCTCTTGTAATTGATTAAATATTAGAAATGAAGGAAAGATGAATTTTAATCAAACTTTTATTTCTCAGTGGAAAATGCTCTCTTCATCAGAGGCGGCTGAGCTTTCCCGACATCAAACATCATTTCCAAAGGTGGATTATTGAGAGAACACCAATCAGGTATACGACCTGTCTGATTATAATATTCCTTTGAAACTGAACGGCTCCCAAGTATATCTTGCAATGCTCCAAAAATAGCTCCTGTGTGATAAAAATATTTTTATAGCTGAGATGAAAACTTTTACCAGAAATCTTTATGTACATATACATCCACTTCACTATATGACGAGTGGACTGGTAAAATTCAGCAATGCATAGTCACATTATTCAATTAATTCCAGTTAAGCTATTCTATAGCTTATATTATAAATAGTACAGTAAGCCATAACTCCTATGTTGAAAGTAACTTAAATGCCCTTTAGCAGCATGTAGTGAATATGATAACAAGTATCACTGTGTCTAAAAGCAAGTGAGGTAGAATGAGATGGAAGGTATTTTCAACTTTATGTAAATACAATCAATAAGACCCTTCAGGTTTTTGGGTTTTTTGTTTGTTTGTTTGTTTTGTTTTGTTTTGCCACTATTCCAAGGTTACATGTCAATAAATAAAATAAATAGCACTGCAAAACCAAACAAGAATCATTATAATGTTCTAAGATTTTATATTGAAGATCTTATAATGACCCACAGGAAGTCTTTAAAAAATAATTTAGTTACTAAATCCATTTGTCCAAGATCAAAATTACATTTTAACCAAATTCTACTTTATAAGTAAAAATGCAATATTCTTTTAAAAATCTCAATACTTGTTTCTCTCTCTGAATGTATGATCCTGATAACTACTAGCTCTAACTGTATCATAAAACACAAATCAAAATGTTTACAAATGTACATATTCATGATATTTTCCCCTTCAAAGTAGTTACATTTGACCCTTAAACAACACAGGAGTTGGGGCATGCACTGCCCCACTTCCCCACTCCAGCAGTGGAAAATCCACATGTAACTTCTGACTCCCCCAAAACTTAACTACTAATAGCCTACTGCTGACCAGAAGCCTTACCAGTAACGGTCAATTAACACATAAACAGAATAGTATCTGCATATATTTTATGTATTTGTGACATAACTTCTTCTTAATTTTTTTGATATTTCTAGGCTGTGCAGTTCATCTGTTTTTTCAAACAGTTGCAGCAAATCTCCAAAAAATTTTCCAGTACATTTACTGGAAAAAAATCTGTGTATAAGTGGACCCCTGCAGTTCAGTGTTGTTCAAAGGTCAACTGTACTTATTAGGTTATTTTCTTATTTCAGTGAAACTATCATTACTTAAAACATTTGATAAACTCAGTCTGAAACAAAGTGTAATGATGAAATAAAGAGACCAATTTTCATTGTGGCTCATTAGCTTTGGAAGGCATTAAAACAAACGTTTTGAGCAATGGTAGCAACACTGGAATAAATTCACAGCTTTCACTATTCTAAGGCATGACTTTAACTGGATGAAGAAGTTTACTTAAATTCACAGTGCAAATGCCAAGAGAAATAGGTATATAATTCTGAAAATTAATATAATTTAAGGAAAAGTCAAGGTTCAAGAAAAATT